GGGGGGGGGGGGGGGGGAGCAGCTTTCGCTGCTTTCCATTGGGGGCTCCTCTGCTCCCTTTGCAGCCCGGGGCTGGCATGCTGACATTCGGAAACACACATTCATCGCGGCCCCGGCGGTTAGTATGGGGCTTTGGGTGGGGCCAGCATCTGCCCGGCGGGGCTCGGGAGATGTGTCGGACCAAGGGAGGCCCCTGCCACTGGCGGGCGGGCGGGCTTGGAACCAGTGGAGGTGAACAGGGCCGGAGGGGGGATTTTCGGGAGAAAGTGCAGCATGGTGGAACTGCGCCTCACCCTTCAAAAACAGGGACCGCCCTCTGTCGGGATCCGCTGGGAGCATCAAGTGCCCGGCCAGACAAGACCACCGGCCCGGCGCCCGCCCTGACCCTGGCTTTGAGGATCAAAGGGAAGGTCACTGTGCCAGTTGTCGCACAGGCCAGAGGCGGGGACAAGGGCACCGAGGAACGATATGCTCGCCAGGCGCGGGGCCGCTTCGGACGAACGCGCTGCCCTCCACACAAACACACACACACACACAGACACACAAAACATCAAGAGTGGGGGCCAAAGAAGCATGCAGCCCCGGAACACGGGGCGGGGGTCCCTTGAGCGTGTGCGTCCTGTTGGGCGGGGAGGGGCATGGGAGCCGCCCTGCCTGGGTGTCTGTCCTGGGCCCGAGCTTGGGCGATCGGGGCTCCGCACCGACCGGGGGCGAGATCGAAACACAGGTCGGGGGCAGGCCCGGCACGGGCCCCCGTTACCCGAGGACATCCGCGCGGGCTGGAGACCGTGTTGAGCCGCCAGAGTTACCCGGTTGCCACGCCATCCACAGAGCAGGGTCCAAAAGGTACACGCAGGGCCAGGGTGGCCCCCTGGGCTCCTCCTGCCAGACCCTCTCCTTTCGGGGAAGAGAAGCCGAGGGTCGTGGATGCGCACTCGCACCAAGGCCCTTTGATCGGGCATTTAAAATCACACACGCACACATACACACAGGAAGGGCCGCGTCTTTGAGCTGGAAAGGAGTTAGGGAGAGCGGCAAAGGGAAGTCGGGGGGGGGGGGGGGGAGCATGTCCGCGGCCAGGCGTCGGCCCGTTGCCAGCAGCAGGCACGCTCGAGCGGGGCACACACCCAGGCGGGTGTGAGATTCCAAGGACAGGCCCAGAAATCTGCCGGGAAAAGCTGGCCAATCCCCTCCTCCCTCCCCTCGGCCTGGCCTGGCGATCGGACAGGACCTCCCAACAGAAGGTTTCGACAAAAAAAACAGCCCCGAGAAGCCATGCCATCAGGATCCCCGCCCAAAACCACATCGTACACACGCGCACAGCGGTGCTGGCGACTGCCCGGCCCCGGGGACCGGGATTGGCAAAATATTGCCCAGTCATCCTGCCAGCAGTGGGTCGGGGTCTCAATGAGGGCGGGACCGGATGCTAATGCATCCCCCCGGCTGCACGCCCTCCGCGAGGCTGGAAATGAGGGACATCATCGAGAAATCCGGCCTCGAGGCCCGGACACAGGGACCCGATGCGGACCATCTGCGAGCATGCGCCGGCGCGAAAGCCGGCGAGAGAGAGAGAGAGAGAGAGAGAGAGGGTCAGAGAGGAAGGCAGAACCCAAACAGGGCGACCCCGGGCGCCGGCGTATCGGCCCACTCTGTGGGATCCCCGAACAACGCGGCCAACACGAGGCCGGCCGAGAGGAGATCGGCCCGAAGACTGGCCAGACTCAAAGACTGACCAAACGCAAAGACAGACCAACGCCCCCGGGGCCCGGGAAGGCCCATCACTGGGGACACCCCAATAGGGAGAACTGCAAGCAAGACGGCATGCCTACCGCCCCCGGCGGAAGAGGGGCCGCGGGTCGGCACCGCCACGCGGTCACGGGGGCCTCGGGCCGGCGCGCGAAAAAAAAAAACACACATTTAGTTCTGGAGCAGGGCAGACCCCTTTGACAGAAAATACGCCATAACGACGCCATGGGAGGGCGCCCCCCGCCGCCCGGCCCCGGGCCCCGCTTTCTTGCCAAGGGGGATGGCGCACGGGCGGCGTCCGCTCGGGTGCCCCCTATTCACACCCAGCGCGCACGCCCGTGGCCTTCCCCGTGCCGCCCAGTCCGGCCCCGATGGGCTTGGAGTAGCTTGTCGGCACCGACCCGCGCATTAATAACGGTCCTTTCTTTGTTGGCTCCGAGAGGTCCGGAGCCGAGCCCACGCTCGAGTCCGACTGGGACGGACAGCCCCCAAGAAGGTCCCCCGGCCGCTGGGTAGGTTCGCCCAACCGGTGGACGAAAGGATGGCACACACGCGCCTCCCGGCGGTCCATGTGGGGCCGCCCTAGGCGAAACACGTCCCACCCTGGCAGCCATTATCATCCTCTTCTCCATGAAGGTCGTAACACAGGCCCCGGGCCCGGGAAAAGCGGCCCACGGCCGCTTCGGTCCCGGCCTCCCGGTGCCGACTCGGCATCCCCGCCCCCCTCCTCCGGGCCGCCAGGCGCGGAGCAGCAGCACCTGGCGTCCCGGACCGGCAACAGTACACCCGATCCTGCCGCCACAAGCCCCACCCCTCCTCGACACATCGAAAGAACTCACCTGGACGCGTGGGGCTTCCTCGGCCCGGGCCTCGCCCTGTGGCGACCGACGCAACACGTGTGCGTGTGTGTCGCCGGCTGGCTGGGTGCCTGTGTCCGAATGATCGATGAGCCTCAGCCACTGCTCCGCGCAAGCTGAAACCTCACTTCATGTGGGGATGAACAGCGGCCTGAGTCTCGGAGGGGGGGCCGGGAAGACCCGCTGGCTCCCTGCGGATTCGTCTGTTGGCCACCATTCAAGAAGGCCTCATGTGTATGTATGTAGAAGGGGCCGAGGGCCCCCCCCCCCCGGGGGGGGTACGCCGAGGTCCAAGCATCTGTCGACATCCGCGGTTGGCAATCGCACCCCTGGGCCGGAGGCTCCAGCCACGGTCCGGGGGATGTGACGCTCAACGACAAGGAGGAGAAGGCCGCCCCTCCTCGCCAGTCGGAGTTGACCCGCCCGACAAGCCGATGCTGGGAAAACGCCCGGGCCCCCACCGGTCCCCGGGCATGGCCGATAGGGCGATCATCGACGAGCAGACACTCCCGGCCGTGGGCCGGGAGGCCGGATACCGCGGGAGACGACCATACAAGGGCCAGATTTTCCAGACTCAGGCCTGGCAGGAACCCGGGGAGGGGGGGGGGGGGGGGGCGACAACGACCTGTGCCGGGCCTGAAAGCCCGTTCAGCCCCGAGGGAGGGGAACTCCTCCGGTGAAGGGGGAACAGCCGTCCAGAGAGGCCAGGGGCGGTACACAGCGCGGAGGCTGGCTCCGACGAAGGCCCCGGTCGCGAGGCCGCGCCGCACCACACGGCTACCAAGAGCAGCAGGCTGCTCCGTGACTAGGCTCCCAGACTCCCAGGCCTCTCGCCCTCCGCCTCTTCGCTGCGGGTGGACATGCGGACCCCGGCGTGCGCGCGGCCGCAACCGCCCGGAGCAGGCGTAGTAACTACCAAAGTGCTTGAGGCCCTCCTCCTTGCCGATCGAAGAGAGGTGTCCAAGTCGGTGTTCCCCCCAGAGCAGGGCACAGGAGGGGTGGCCCGCCGCCTCGGTGATGGGAAAACCCTCGGCAGAAGCTACCCCCCTCTCCCCCAGTGCCAGCAAGCGACAGACAGCCAAGCGACCGCCAGAGTCTCCTGGGTGCACGGGGACGTTCCCGCCGGAGTCGCGCTTGGGCGTGCTCGGTCGACCTGGGGTGGATCTGGGGGCCCGACCGTGCGCCGTCATTTCCCGCGGAGCTTGCATGCACCTCCAAAGTGAAGCACCCTCATGGCCTCCAGACCGCCTCGCATTCCAGAATGGAAGGAATGCACTTTACAGATCCCAAGCCCGCGCCCTCAAGGCCAATGCTTCAGTTACGCCTTCCAGTTTAGATGCCGGCCATCCGCCAATGATGATGGTGTCCCCGGGCGGTGGCAATGGAACCACATCAACAGCACGACGAGTCTCTAAGTCTATTGGGAGAATGACCCCACCAGGCTGGGGAGACACACGACGAACAAGAACACCGAGAGGCCCAAGACTAGGCCGGCAGCCGTCCACCAAGAACGCCCCTGGCCGCGACCTCGCCCTGTCCCTGCTGCGCACAGAGCTCCTCCAGTAGGATATCCTCAAAGGCCTGGATGATGCTCCGCAGCCCGAGCAGGTAGCCCTGATCGGCCGTCAGGCGCCAGTCATCATTGCCCGTTGGACGGGCCGGCGCGGGGTCATGGCTCGATGACGACGACGACGACAACGACGACGACGGGGTGGATGTCCGCCCCCCGCCACCGGCGGAAGAGGGCAACGGCGGCCGGCCCCCGGCATCAGGACCGCAGGAGGAGGGAGGGCCCCCGGTGCTGGGTGCCGCCCCGGCCGAGGCCAGGTGATTACCGAAGGTAATCCACCCCTCGTCCTCTTCATCCTCCTCCAGGGGTGCAGGCACCGAGGCAAGTGCAGGCGCAGGCGTAGGTGGCCGCGGCGGGCGCCGGCTCATCGCCCCGGTCTCCGAATCGCTGGCCTCATCGCAGGACGAGGAATCGGCCCCATCTCCGGCGGTCCCTGCCTGGTCGAAGTCATACTCCGTCCCAAACCCATAGGACTCCAGTGCCGCGATGTCCAGGATGTCCAAATCACAGCCAACCGGGCCAATGTGGTCAAGATCCGATGGGTCAAAGTGCCCTGCCGCCGGGGAAATCCCCAGCGGCCGGAGGGGACACACTTGGAGACGCTCGGCCGCCGCCGCGGCCGCCGCCTCCTCCGGCACGCTGATGAGCTCGCGCCGGCGACGAAGCCACCGCCGGCGCCGGCGCCGGCGCAGCCGATCCGTCACATGCACGGAATTGGCAAAGTCAATGATCCGCAGGTCCACATCGCGACTGGTCAGCAGGTCCGGGCTGATGGGCAGGCCGGCGGCTGCCATGGCAGCCGCCGGGGTGGCCCCCTGGCTCGGAGCCGCCTCGGAGGCCGCCAGCACCACCCCCCCGCCGGCGGCCGACTCCGGATGCCCGTCATAGATCAACAACAGACTGCTCCCATAGAAGCGCCATTCCGGCAGCGACTCAATCACACGATACAGCTGATTCAGTCGGTCGATGAAGGCCGGGATGAACTGCAATTGCAGGCCGGACACTTGACTGGGGAGAGGCCGGGCACGGGGGTTGGCACGGGTGCCCTGGCTGGCGCCGGCCCCGGCGACCGCGCCGTCGGCCATTGCTCCGGGAGGCCCGCTGGCAAAGCCCGGCCGCGGGGACGAGGCCACCGACGAGGACGAGCAATAGAGGCTGGCTCGTCCGCCGGTGGTCAGGTACGTGCGGATGGCTCGGCGGAAGTCCTCGCGCGTCTTGAGCTTTCGCCCGTCATACTTGCTCTGATAGTGATACTCCCCGGTTTCGGCATCGTAGACCTGCGTCGGGGGAGAGGGAGTGACAGGAACAGTGACAGAGGAGAGGAAGGGGGCGAGGGGAGGGGAGAAGGGGGAAGGTTAGCGCAATCGAGAGGATACGGCCATGTTGTCGGGAGCAAAGGAAGAGAGGTAGGCCAGGCGTGGCCTTCCCCTTGCCGCTGCTGGCGGCGAGCGGCCAAGGACATACCTCCATGCCGCACATGCGCACGCCCAGCGAGGCCGATGTCGTGGAGAGGCACTTGCGAACTTGACTGGCCCGCTTGGCGGCCGTGGCGTGGGCCCCATGCTGACGGGTACCCATCTTCAGATCCAAAATGCAGGGGGCTCGAAGGCCGAAGGTCAGGTCCTCCAGTAGCACAAAGTGCGAGGTGGATGGCGCGGCCGGCTTCGACTGGACCAGGGGGTTGGGCCGGGGGGGCGTGGCAGCGGCCCGTGAAGACAGCAGCGTCGTGAAGGGCCGCCGGTCGGACAGGTCGGCGGCCACGGCATATGCCGCGGTTTCCAGCGAGGTGGATGCCCGCTCATTGAACAGGGCCAGCAGCTCCTCCGGCCGTGGGGGACGCTCGCCGAAGCGCATACGCGCCAGCACATCCGACCGCAAGTCCGGCGAACTGAACCCCCGTGCTAGGGCCAGGTGCTGCGATGCGGCGGGATGCAGGGAAAGTGCCGCATGGTTTGCGGGTGTTGCTGTTGCTGCGGCCGCCGACGGCATGTAATGTGAAGAGGGCCCCCCGCCGACGGCATACAGACTGGCGCCGATGGACCGGGCGCTTGGCAGCTGCCCAGGGCCAGCAGAGGAGCCGGCTGTTGGTGGGCCGACAGCCGACACGGGCCTGGACTCCGGGCCAGGGAGAACCTGCGCCAGCATGGCCGACACATCAGGATCGGCCAGGCGATGGCCAGAGGGCGGCAGGAGCCCGGAGCCAGGGGCCGCCATGGCGAGCGCCCTTTCCCGAGAGGCCAGATCCAGGGAGGAGCCGGCCGGTGGCCCGGGCAGTGGCCGTTCTGGGGAGGTGTGAAAACCGGGTGACAGGTCGCCCGGTGAGGGAAGTGCCGTCCGGCGAAAGGGGTTGTTCACCTGGAAGAAGCTCCGCAGCGCGTCGATGAAGTCCCCCAAGAAGGGATCCCGTGGCCCGGCCGCGCCGATATCCAGAGGCTCCTCCTCGAGGGCGAGCTGGCCATCGTCAGACTGGTCCTCGCCATCCGACGAGTCGGCCAGTGGTGGCAGGGGCAGCGGCTCGTGGAGCAGTTGCCCATCCAGAGTGGCAAGGGCCGCCGCAGCGGCTACCATACTGCCCGGGTCATGGGCGAAGGAGCTGCCAGACTCATCGTGTCCGGTGGTGGCATCGGCAGCCGCCAGGAAGGGACCCTGGGAGCCCACTGTTAGGGAAGACATGTTGTCCGGAAGAGGTCCGAGGCCCGGCTCGGGGATGCCTTCATCGGGCCCGGTGGAACTGCTGCTACCATTGCCAGCGATACCAAGCAGTGATCCGGACATGACATCAGCCTCGGACGAGGAGAAGGGGTCATCCATGGCTGGGAGGCCACCGGTAACGGTCGCACTGGAAGAGAAACCACTGATCCCATCGAGGGGGGTGGTCACGCCGCCAAAGGGAGACCCGGCAGGGCCGAAGGAGGAGCCGGCAGCGTCGAAGGAGGAGCCGGTGCTTCCCCCAAACGAGGAGCCGGTGCTTCCCCCAAACGAGGAGCCGGTGCTTCCGCCGAAGGAGGAGCCGGTGCTTCCGCCGAAGGAGGAGCCGGTGCTTCCCCCAAACGAGGAGCCGGTGCTTCCCCCAAACGAGGATCCCTGGCCGTAGGAAAAGAGACAAGCCGAAGAGTGCGGCCGTGGGAGGGAGGCTGCCGTGGGGACGACGGCCGCCGGCCCCGGGGCCGCTGACTGTGCAGATGTCAGGCCTCGGGCAGCGGATCCCGGCCCGGGGCTCGGGGCCGTCGACCGGACATGCGGCGGGGGCGGAGAGCTGGCCCGAGAAGGAGCCTGGGAACTGCTGCGACTGCCGCGCCCCTGGCCTGGCCGAGTTCGCAGGAGGGTACCGGACTCGGTCAGACGGACGGTGCCCAGGTAGTGCGGGACAAAGGGGACAAGCGTCGGAGAAATAGAGGGCATGTGTTCATAGAACTGATGCTCGGATCGGACCATTGGCTTCAAGATTGTCCGATCCTCAACTTTTCTGATGACCGATTGCCCGCCCACCTGGAAGTGGAAGGGCGGCAGGATGGCGGCCGCCTCCGTCGCAGCCGATGTCGCCAGCGTGCCTGTGCCATGCGTGCTTGCGGGCGGTGCGGTTTGGGAATCGCGCGACGGCCGCTGCTGCTGCTGCACCTGCATTGGCTCAAGAGGGGGGGTGGCAGAGGGGTGAGAGAGGGGCAGCACCAGCGGGGTAACCTCCGAGAGGGGGGCCCCGGCGGGATGGCATGGTTCCGGGGGGGCGGAGGGGGGCTGCTGCGCGCGCGAGCGTCGTTCGGGTGACCGGGAGTGCTGTTGTGCAGGGGCGGGGATCCTTGGCTGG